CATGGCTGCCCAAACCTTGCATTAGGTGCACGTTTTATTTCTTTTGCAGCCCCTCCATTCCTCCATTGTAATGATGATCACTTCCTATCATTACTGGCTGCTTATTTTTTCCTATTTCCCCGCCACACATTAAACCCAGTGAGCTTAGGGTCCTTTCCGTTCAATCCCCAGGGCCTAGCACAGTGAAGACTGCACAGAAGGGACTCAGTAAATACTTCTTAAATATTGTTGTATATTCATCTATTTTTAAGCTTTCTAATACTTAAACTATAAAACAAGTAGAGAGAAATTATAAACACAAAATTTCATGATGACAAAGTCTGGAATCAGAATTCCTGGATTAAATTTCTGGCTCTATCATTGCCTTATTGAATATTCTTGACAAAACCCCAAATTTTCTCACTATAATGTAATCATGTAACACTCATCATTTCTGAGTACCCAATAAAAATGACAATAGCATCTTGAATTTATGGCTTCCAAGTAGTTAGCAGCATTTCTTATGAATTACTTATTTGTTCACCATCCCTTTGGGGTAGGCCAGCGTCTTTGCTTCTAGAAGGCAATGAAGGGAGATAGAGTTCCTCCTGTAATGGTGTCAAAACACTGGTCCTGGTTGGTTACCTACTTCACAGAATGTGGGGAAGATTCATGAAGTTATCTGAGTCTTTATGCTCAGGAAAATGGATTCTATAAAGTAGTTTTACACGCTTGTATATCCAATTTCTTAAGAGCTCAAAATATTTGGGGGTGAAAATGTGTACAAATTATTTCAGTACTTCAGCTTATTCCTGGGCTCGTTCTCCATGTTTTTCTGGAGACGGTTTTTTTTTTTTTCCACACCCACTCAAACCATCTGTGTACCAGGCAAGTTCTCCAAGATGTAAAACCAAGTGAAATATGTCCATTCCAGTTATTTAGAAAGGACTGTGACTAATGATACTGTGGAAGAATGGCACGGGTGATGAAAAAGTACGCTCTCTGTGTGAACAGCTAGGGCAGCCTAGCAGTTAGAGTCACACAAAGCCTAGCCATACAGACAAGCACTCAGCACAGTGCTTTTCAAACTTACCCTCCAAAGACCTTCTGCAGGAAGCAGAATCAGCTGAGTGTCTCTGTGACCTGGAGATATCCCCTGTGAGATGAGGTTCTCTACCACCGTCAAATGGTAACATTTTAAAAAATTTGTGCAAGTTTTACATTCTATCCCAAATATGTCAACGTTTGCTTTATATAAAAATGTCTCAAATTATTTTCCATTGGGGATTCCCTGGCAGTCCAGTGGTTAGGACTCCACCCTTCCACTGCAGGGGCACGGCTTCAATCCCTGGCTGGGAAACTAAGATCCTGCATACCACATGATGCGGCCAAATATAAATACATATATATATATATATATATATATATACACACACCATTCATTAAAATGGACTCTTAAGGAAGAGGTACCATATTTATTATTGCCTTTAAACTCTCCCCAGGACACTGGCATGTGCTTTTTTTCAAACATTACCCCAGTTTGAAAAGCACAGAGTCCTAGGATATTATAGCCCAGGCCATGGATTTTTGTTAGAACTTAAGAGAATTTGCCCACCTGTCCCCTTTCTACTTTGCTACATGTACACTCCTGAAGTCCTTTTGCCTAACTCACTGATGAAATCTTTTAAATGTTGCTCTAAGCACCTGATTGGTAGCATGTCCACTGTTAAGATGATGGAGGAATATAAAATTAGCTTCCTCAGCAACCTAAGTGTCCATCGACAGACGAATGGATAAAGAAGATGTGGCACATACATACAATGGAATATTACTCAGCCATAAAAAGAAACGAAATCGAGTTATTTGTAGTGAGGTGGATGGACCTAGAGTCTGTCATACAGAGTGAAGGAAGTCAGAAAGAGAAAAACAAATACTGTATGCTAACACATATATATGGAATCTAAGAAAAAAAAAAAAGCTCATGAAGAACCTAGGGGTAAGGTGGGAATAAAGACACAGACCTACTAGAGAATGGACTTGAGGATATGGGGAGGGGGAAGGGTGAGCTATGACAAAGGGAGAGAGTGGCAATGGACATATATACACTACCAAACGTAAAATAGCTAGCTAGTGGGAAGCAGCCGCATAGCACAGGGAGACCAGCTCAGTGCTTTGTGACCACCTAGAGGGGTGGGATAAGGAGGGTGGGAGGGAGGCAGACGCAAGAGGGAAGAGATACGGGGACATATGTATATGTATAACTGATTCATTTTGTTATAAAGCAGAAACTAACACACCATTGTAAAGCAATTATACTGCAATAAAGATGTTAAAAAAAAATCAGCTTCCTCAAATAGAGATTTTCTGTTGGAGAAATAGTATCTGTCTGAGATGGGAATTATCTAACCACTTCTCTCTTTAGATCTCCTTAACACTGGAAACCAAACTGAGTTCTAAAACTTAATGCTTTTTTGTAAGCATTTAGAAAATGTGATCAAACAGCAAACTGGTCATGCTCAGATATTAGTGCAAGAAGTGACTTATTTATACATGCAAATTTCAAAGCATTTGTAAGGTCTACCATGTGTGCTGTTAAAAGGGTTTTAATTTTAAATTATTTTTGTTAGATAATCCCATTTAAAGTAACACTATGATTTATCGCCACTAATCAAGATGCTGATCCCTCATAGACTTCTTGTTTGTATCTGTTTTTGTTCTTTGTTACATAAATACGAGGTTTATATATAAAATTCTGACTGTGTAATATAGGGCTAATGAGTCACAGATGGAAAGATGCTGGCACGTTACCATCTAATAACATTTTAAACTCATATTCCATAGTAAAACAAAAGCAAACTGTACACATCTGTTTTCCAACTTGTAGCATTTCTGAATTTGTGGAGAGTCTCTGTTTAAAGGACTTTTACTTGAGGAGAAGAAAAAGAGGATATAGGTCACCTCAAAACTACCCAGCCACTTAATAACCTTATCAGATAGGACTTGGCAAAAGGGATAAGATTTCCTCGGCTTTGCTTCCTGAGAAGTCCGAGCTCTAAAGAACAAGAATCAGAGGCATTAGGGCTGAAGCGATGTCTCAGACTACAAACATAATGTTATTGTCTCTCTAAAGAAAAATATATCCCTAATAAGGAGGAAATAAGGGGAAAAATATACCAAAACTAATAAAATTTTAAAACTAGAAACTTTCTGGCTTTTTCTAGAAATATGCTCGAAGTAGATTTGGGTGGGAAGAGGGGAAAGGCAGTGGGGAGGAGAAAACATAGGAAGGAATCCTGCAGACACTCGAGACCATATATTATCATGGTTGTTGTTTAATTTTTTGTATGGTAAAAGTATTCTTTATGGGAAAAAAATTGGAATACAAGGCTCTGATATCACATGTTGTCGGAAAAAGAACACAGGCAAAATTTCTCTCTCAGACCTACCCAATTGATAACGCCTGTGAACACAAGTTAGTACAAGCTAGTAAAGTACAGGCTTTTAAAATATCCTTTGCCCATTTTCCTTGGTTAAGGAATTCAAAACCACTTTTCTGCTTCAAGGGGGTGTGTGAACTGTCAAGTTCTTTTGGAAAAGTTACGTGACAGAAGTGATTACTGCAGAGTGTGACCATAAATCCCCCTGACATGAAATACACATGTTATAAGAGACAGATTTCCATCCACCACCTCTGCAGGAATTCCTGAAACAGGAAAGACCTGAGAATCATCATGATTGGAGACAGAAATTTTGATATGTGGGTGGTAAGACTATATTTTTTGACGCGTACTGCATTTATTCTGAGGAATACATCTGATCTGACTGCAAAATTCTGTTCACTGTTGTCCAAAAAAGATTTGATACATGTATTGTATGTCCTGAGTTGTAAACAGAATATCAGTAGAGGGAAATTACAGTGTTGTGTTCATAACAGAGTCTGTAGTTATCTCCATTCTGTACTAACATTTTGTACGTAAGAGTCCAGAAATCTTAAGCGTATGTACACAGATCCCAGTGTACCTGAGTTCTCAAGCTGACCGTTCCCTTTAAGAAATGGTTGGCTTGGGGGCCTCATGTGTCTGATTCTGTTTACTGTGTCAAACAAGGCAAGACTTAGAGCCAGGACAGGGTGGCATTAGGTACATGCTTGTTGTGTTTGTCCACCAGTGGAATGTCTGTGTGACGTTTTGTGTCGTGTTGTTTTGGTGCTGTGCCCTGTCCATAGGGTCTGCCAGGCTTCTCCACAGTTGCCGCTCTGCACAGTAATCAGATCCTCACCGTCAAGGTTCGTGGTTGGCACCCATGCCCGCGCAGTCAGAGCCCGCAATCAGCATAAGAGTGAGCTGCAACAGCTCAACTGGCTTTCCGAGTCCAGTCCTTTCCTCACACACACAGGTTATTGGGCACTTGGAACCTCACCTCCATCAGTGAGGTCAAACGTCCATTAAGAAGGAGAATCTTGAGCCTATAAGAGAAGAGCGTATTGAAGTCGAAGAGAGGCAGGCAAGCTCTGTGAGGCTGTGCCACGCCACGGTGGTTTGATTGGCATGCATCTCAATGCTCTGTGACAGTTTTCAGTGGATTGAACAATCCTAAATACTCTGGACTTCGGCCATCCATAAAATGACAGTCGAGTTCATGCCGCGTTATGCTGGTTGAGGAATCTGACAGAAATTGAACTGGCGCTTCGTCTCCGGACTTTCCGCTCAGCGTGCAGGATGTAGGTGGCCCCAGGTTACCTGCTTCTTTAATATACAACATTGAAAGAGGCCCAACGCCCACAGCAGAAAAAGATTCATTTCTAACTAAAAATCTGGTTTCCCCATCCCGTTTCAGGGTTCTGTTTCTTTCAAGAAGAGCCAGAGGGTCCGATGTCAGACACAAGCGCCAGTTCTGTTTTGTTTGATGGTTATTATGAGTCTAATGTGTGTATCTTTCTTTCTTTCTTGGGGCCCTCTGATGCCTATTCTTCAACTCTCTCATCTCTGAACTCCAACCTTTGACCTCACCTGACTGATCAGATGGTGTTTCCTAAAATCAATCATGGGTTTCTCTCTGCTGATCAGCAGCTCATTAAACGCCGCCTGGTTAAGGTAGTGCTTACTCTTGCTCAAGTCTGATTTCTCCTTTACATTCGATTTTTACTCTGTATACTGTTGCTTTACCATTTATCTCTCAGAGGCAGAGTGTGGGTGGTGGGTATTTATTTTAAAATATCCTAGAGCAAAATTATGTTTAGTGAGCTGCATGTGTTTGAAATGTATGTGAAAATACCAAAACCAAAAGGTATAGAAAGCCAATCTAAGTTCTTCTTCAATTTAAAAAAAAAAAAAAAAAAGAAAGCTTAAAAATTACATGCAGTGATAGATCCAGTTTCTAAGCTCTCTAGCTTTGGTAATTTATAAATTATTACACAGCATGGCAAGAGCCTTGTATGTTTAATTTTATAGGTTATGAAAAAGTAAATATTTGTCCAACTATAAATGCAGCCATTTTTATTAAGCCAGGTGAATATAACTGTTGCAGCATTGTCATGGATAAAGTTATGCAAACGTTTTCTGCCAGCTCTGAGTATCATGATAACATATACACTATTTCCAAGAGCTGAGAGCGCTGGTTTCTGAGCTGCTTTGATTTCAACAACGTCTACTCAGCTCGCCCAGCATGAATATTTATTTGCTTCCTACTGGCAGGCAAATTGCCTACAGGCTTTACCATTTGTGGTTGTTCTGGGTCTTTTCACAGTATAAACGTGAATTAGATAATAGAAATTTAAAGTGTTGAAAAGAAGACCTGGGTCTTTATCTTTCACAGTTATTGTTGGTCTGTCCCCTTCTCCATTGTAGGGTGACCAAGGACAGGCTGGGCCTCCAGGCCCTCCAGGACCTCCAGGCCCACGAGGGCCTCCTGGGGACACAGGGAAAGATGGCCCCCGCGGAATGCCAGGAGTGCCTGTGAGTTGCTTTTTGGATCAGTTGTTCTCACAGGTTTTGCTTCCTTTAAAGCGCTGAGAATTGGGTTGGAGTTGGGGACGGGGGTGGCAGAGGTCAAGTGAGCGGAGTGGGTTGAAGGAAGTGGGATGATAGGAAAGTCCCCGAGCAGAGAGGGTACTGTCAGCTGGAATCTGCTTTACCACTCAACCCTCGGGGCACCCACGCAAACCACAGCGAGACGCCTGGAGACAGCAACTGACCTGGTCTTCAGGTAAGCCTCAAGAAGTCTGCGAGTGGAGACGCCCGATCTCACTTGTGTCCTGACTGCCATAGAGTACCTCAATGCCTTTGGCTGAAACGGAAGACTAGCTTGAAAAACTAGGTGGGAGATTGATAACATTTTACAAAGGATCAAAATAGAGACAATAAAGTCCTATGCAATTTATGGAAAGTAAAAGAGGTAAATCTTCCTAATATTTATCCCTTGCAAGTAACTTGACCCCCCCAATCACTAATAAAATAGTGAAATTAATGGTTAAAACATCAGTGGTTATGGTTGGAATATCGTTTGTCCTTTGTATGTGAAGCTTATTAATAGAAATGACTTAACAGCGATCTCAACACTTAGATCTAAGTACTAATTTACTTAGTACTTAGCTACTAAGATTGGTCAAGTGTCAATAATAGAGTAGCAGCACAGGGCACTAGATAAATGGTTTGGTTGGGTAGAGACAACTCAGCAATTTAAAGAAATACATGGAAAAGGTCAAAAATTTGTACACTTATGACTTCAGGACGTGAAATTCAGGTTTATTGCTGAATTAAATTATTTATTTAACGTATTGATTTAACTTAAATTATTTTCATCAGTGTTTTTGTAGTACAAAAGTAATAATAAAATATTTATCCACAAAGTAGAAAAATTTGAAAATAAAGGCAACCAAAAAAGAAAAAACAAATCAGCCATAGTCATTAATGTTTTGGTAGATTTCATTTTTATATGTATATATTTATGTAATTTTTGAGTGACTCTTTTTTTTAAGACTATAAGGTACTTTAAAACTTTGCTGGGACAACCTTCTTATAAGCCTCATACCCCTCACCAAAAGTTGCTATAATTTGTCATATGAAATAAGGAATTGACTTTCAGCGTAATATGCTGGTTGTTAGAACTGCCTTCACTGGACCATCAGAGGTAGTGGTTTCATCCTAAAAGTGTCTTCTAATGTCTCACCTTTTCTTGGGATGAAACCCCAAAAGATAGAGAACCCATAGCTGCTTTACAGTATAAACACCCCTACTCTTTTTATTTAGAATACCTTCTTGGCATAATTCTTAAATCTCTGCTGTAATATAGATTCGTTGTATTAAATCCTAAAACGTTTATAAAATGCATTTGAAGAAAGAACGTCAGCGCTCTTTAAATGACATTGTATTTGCATTCCTTTCTTTAGCCTAAAAAGTATATATTTGACATTCAAGATCCCTAGTGGATATTGTGAAAAAGAAAAAAAGAAGATTGAAATTGGTTTTTACTGTTTACAGCATTAATAAAATTATCATTATTCTTTTTTAAGGGTGAACCAGGGAAACCGGGAGAACAAGGCTTGATGGCAAGTATCTGAATTTATCTTTTTCGATACTGAAAAGAATGAAAAGACAAGTTACTCAAAACTGTGGTCAAGACTGTGTGTAACAAGTGTGCCTGTTTTGTGATCTGTAACAAAGAGTGAGAATTAGTAAAAGTTAAAAAGTGATAGGGATAACTGAATCACTGTGCTGTACCCCTGAAGCTAACACAACATTGTAAATGAACTATACTTCAATTTTTTTTAATGGTAAAAAAAAAAAAAAAAAGTATTCCTTTAAAACGAACAACCAAAAAAGAAGTGATAGGGCCTGTCCATCACATGCTAAGGATCACATGACAACACACATGCAGAACTGATACAGGAGGAAAAAAGAGGGAGATTCCAGGTGACGCAAGTGACAAAGGATGCTGAGGAAGACTCTGTTATAAGAGATTAAATTCAGGGATGTGCCTATTAGCTTCAACAGAAATGAGATTTCAGAGGAACCAGGTGTCACTACCTGTGAACTAGTAGAGCAAACCTTCGACAGTGATTCCAGAGGTTTTTCTTTTGCCGAAGGGAGAGAACAGTTGTGCCTTCTTGATCCCTGAAACTGTTAATAAAACGGTAAGTTAGTGGTTAAAATGTCAGCAGTTATGGTTTGAATATCATTTGTCCTTCCACCCAGAGAGAAACAGTGGTGTGTTCCTGATCTCTGTCATTAAAAAAGATCATGAAATGATTCCTCTTGGACTTGCCCGTAAACACGCAGGTCCCAGCTCCTCAAGTTTGTTTATGCTTTGCCAGTGAAAGAGAAGTTAGGGCAGCCTGCTGAGCCCCAAAGAGTAGAATTCCTTCAACCTACCTCTCCCTGTCACTTCCTCCCTGTCTCTGGAGCTACCTTCCTGACCTACTTTGTGACACGAACAATATTGGGGAACACAGGATGACGCTCTAATAACTCAAATTCCAGAGGACAGCTATGTCTCACACTTGCCCTGGATGCAGTGATGACGATCTACTTGATCATGTCCATTTCACACGATGTGTGGCATGCAGCCTGCAGGTGCTCAGGATATAAAATGTATTTAAAAAAAAATAGAAGCTAGGTCTTAGTGAAACGAATGCACAGGAACACGCTAGTTGGTCAAGAATTAAAACAAATGTGTGCATGGGCTAAAGGTCAAAGGCTTCTCCCTGCACAGGATGCCTTCAACAGCCCTCCTGGGGAGACACTCAGCAAGCTGTAGTCCTAGCTGTCATGTAGCTGCCTTCAAAACATCACTGGTGAAATGGAAGCATCCTGGGACCACACCTGACCCACTGCCTGGAAATTCTCTGTTTCTGACCTACAGTATCAAGATAGATATTTGATACAGACAATCAGGCCGGGAGTACTATAATGGATTCTTTTTAAAAAGAATAAAATGAAAGAAAAACAACAACAACACAAGACCATATGTGAAAATTAAATAAAACATCTGTCATCCGTGGTAACTTTGCATACAAGGGCAGCATTAGCTCTCCAGGTTATAGGATCAGAGGGGGTGAAGAGTTTTTGGAAAACTACCATATAAATTTTGAAATTGCTTTATGCAATTGAATGCACCTGTAATTTCTATCGTGGATAACGGTCAAAACATATTCCTCCCATACACTCTTACGTCCAAGGCTACTTAGGATTCTTAGGAGCCATTGTTTGTCCCCAGATGTGCAGAGCCTATGATTTTTATCATTGCCGCAGGCTTTCTACCCTGATGCCCATTTGCAGCATCACAGCAGTGTTCTAAAATAAAAATGGATGTTTAAAAAATTATAATCTTCCTTAAATTCATATACAAGCTCTAGAATACACGGTGTGAATAACAAATTAGTCCCATTTCCCTACCACTCCTAGCTTAATGTCATTAAATATAAATGTTCCACCTAGTCCTAAATGAATTATGTCATTGTCTTAGTTTGCTCTGATTTCCCATTTCATATAACAACTTTTCAGATAAAGATGATCCTGGGTGTTTTTCTCTGAACCTCTCTTCTCTCTTTAAACTCTTCAGATACAGTTCATATTCTCATTTCAAAAAATGAAGCTGAGAAACTCAGTTGAAATCACAAATGTTCAAAGGATATGTCTAATGTAGTGATCTTCTAAAGTACAGCATTGTACTGTTCTTAAAGATGTAAAATTCATTTCTAAAAGAAAACTTGTATAATATATATTTAATAAGTAGACAAATAAGTATATATCTCAGTGAATTTTCACAGTGAACATAGCTGTGCAACCACAAACCAGATCAAGAAGTAGAAGGTTATCATATCCTAGAAACCCCCTTTACCCACCCCCCATCACCATCTCCCTCTTCTGCCAACACAGATTAATTTTGCCTGTGTTTGAATTTCATATTACTAGAATCATACAATATGTAACTTCTGTGTCTGGCTTCTTTCATCCAACAGTATATTTGTGAGATCATCCACCTCTGTTTTAATAGCCTTCACAGCTGGTTTAAAAAAAAAATTAAGAGGAAGAACCTTACTTCCTTGACTACCCTGTTAAAACTACATCACTCAAATAGCAGTAAATGAATGGTCTGTCTGTCTGACCTTGGGCAAGTCACTTAACCTCTCAATTTTTCATCTGTAAAGAAAGGAAAATCATGCCCTCTCTGCCTCCCCTATAAGGTTGCCAAAGACAAGTGCAATGAATTAGGAGAAAACCCTTTAAAATATATAATGAAGAATTGTATGAGTATGTTATTATTACTATCACTCAGTTGTTCCCTCTACAGTAAATTACAGGTGAGCATGGATTTATATAACAGATGTATTCCTGTAAAGTTCTATATGAATCAGATTTTCATAAATCAACATAGCTTAAATGTGCTGGGAAATTTTGCTATTTAAAGCAATCCCATTCAGAGTCTTTTCATAAAGCAATACAATCCCCTAATTCCTCTTCCCAGCAAAATGAATTTTTACATATTTGCTTAAAGTGAAATATTTCTATTATTTTTAAAAGTATCATTTAAAAAAAATCACTATGGTTACTAACTTAAATAGCACCTGTGTATTTTAACCCATCTCAAAGAGAGAAGATACCGGAAATATAATAGCAGCTTTCATGCGGAGAAAAATTTTCTTTTTCCTTTCAAATATTATACATATGTGTGCATATGTGGGTGTGTGTGTTTTGACTCAAAGTCTGGTAGAAAGAAAAGTACATATTACTAGTAATTCTGGCCTCAGAACAATTTAGGAGTGTATGACTATCGTCTGTGATCCTTTTTACTGATCTATAAAATGTAGGCAATATTCCTATTCCACCTATATCACTGGAATATGGTGAGAAGCAAGTGAAATAATAAAAATATGAAAATGCTTTATGGAACACAGACTTCCATAAATGAGAAGTATTGCTGTTAAGACAAAAATGTCAAATGACATAACATGGCATACAGAAAGACCACTCTATGAGACATAAGGGCTAACGACAGTGTGACTATAGCTGTCAATTAAATTAGAGTGTGTCAAATACTGTGATTGATAATGCAACTTATTCCTTTTGTCCTGTTTGTTGCCATCATTGTGTTTGGCCTTCTCCTATATATCACATCTTCTTACCTCATCACCTTTTCATAACACACCCCTTCCCTTCCACCAGCTCAGACAAGGGAAGATAATATATACCACCACTCTCATCTTTTCCACAGTACGCAAAACCCACTACCTCTGTTGGTTTGCGCCATGGAGGAGTGTTTGCTTACGTGAGGATCTTGAGAGGCACTAGAGAATTTTTTAAAATGTAAAATGTCTCTAATGATGAAATGAAAAAACTAGGAATGGTCTAAAATTAGCTCTTTCAAAACTGTTTATGAGTGTGTCAGGTGGGGAATTCGTTTTCATAATCCACGCTATATATTTTATATCGCAAAAATAATCATCTGAAGATTAACAGCATCTCCAATAGAATAAAAAAGAAGTCCTGCCTCTCAAGCAGTTCCACATTTATTTAACCCTGCTGTGCACCTATTCCATAAACAAGACCTTCAGGTTTTGCGAGAAGTTCTAGAGGAGATTTTAAAAGGCAGAGTCATGAGCTAAAACGAACTGGACTCCATCTAAATAAGGAGAGAATCTCTCTGGCTTATAAAATTAGACTCAAGAATCAAACCAAGAACTGACCACAGCTGGAAATGCTAAAGCTCTGAACCCCGGCACAAACGGTCTTTATTTTTCAGTTCTTCAGGAGGTTAAATAGTTGTTAGAATAGTATTTTTGAAAGTGTCTTTCCTTTTGATATCCTTACTGTTTCTTTCTTTGACAAATATAGTAGTTCTCAAAAACATAAAAGACAAATGATGTATATTCAATATACCAACTAGTCCCAGTTTCCTGCAAATTATTTTTTTGTCCAAAGTGTATATAATCAAGGTTTCATAGACCATATCACTTTCCCTACACTGAAACCCTTCCTTCCTCTCCTGCCCCCCAAATATGTGCAAACTCCATAGCGTATCTATTCATCTCTTTCTGAATTATAAGAGTACTTCAAATGTCATTCGTTGGGCCCTGGTGGTGTCTGAGAGTTCAAAACTCAGAAAAGTTTTCCTGTTATTGTTCCTTAAAGCGAAATTTGGATTGTATCCAAAGAAGTTATAGATACTTTTTAGTTTATTTTGATTTTGCCTGCAAACACATTTAATACATTTGTGTCAAGTGAATATAATGTAGTTTATGGTAGCTAATAACATAAGCATAGATAATTGCTTCTGCTTCATTTAAAATAAAATTGAATTAACCAATATGTGAAGATTTACTTTAAACATATTTAGTTATAATGCACTGCTATCCCACAGATTTGATAAAACTTATCATTTTACTTAATTGTACTTTGCTGTCTCAACCGTATTGAACAGCAGGGTGGCAGACATCGGACACAGTAGCAGGCTTCTCTTCGTGATTTTAATCTGGTGAGGCAAACAAACCTTCAAATCACAAATAACCAAAATGACCAAAATCACCTTAGGATATTTAGTTATTAGACT